CATCTTGGTTAGCGACACAACCACATCCATCACCTGGGCTGCTGCTTCCACTGGTTGCATCTGCATCACGCACCATTCTTCATCTTAACCATCGGAACCCCATCTTGCATGCTGGGCTGTCAGCTCTCTTCAGCAAAGGCGGTCAGTTGATTGCCACTTACTGTATTTGTTTCTGAGAAATAATGCTAATTTTGAAATATGTACTTATAAAGAAGGTATTTGTAAAAAAAAAAAAAAAGTAAACAATTCTATCATTGCAAAACCTGAAGTGAAACCGAGTTTGTATGTTCATTTACATAAATATTTATTCCAGATTGGTGTGGTTGGGAAGGGGAAGTGACCTGGGAACACATGATTGGCATTTTATCTTTCCCTCTTACAAATCCTACTGCCATGTTAACCCTTGCTGCTCAGGTGTGTTATAAATATACTGTGGATATTTATCATGTCATGCAACAGCAGTTCTGTGCTTTTGTTTAATTTGTTATACAATTCTGGTTATACCAGCTACAAACTTTAGCCATTCAAAATTAAGTAGCTACTTTGCCAAAACAGAACTTATTACTTTTTTATATTATTTTATTTCACAAGTTTATTTCTCTCATATTTCCTTGATCAGGAGGGCCACTTGTTAGTTGTGTATGCATATGCACGCTGGCGTAGACAACAAGTAGCAGTTACAACAGACAGTTTTCTACAGCTAACAACTCTCTTTGACTTACTAGAAATTGTTACTCCTAAGTAAGTGAATTTTGTGCAAAGAACAAACTTTTATTTTGATAATTATTAGTGTTGAATAATCTTAACTGATGTTTGTCATTGTCTTTAAACTAGATGGACCAGCCAACCCAGAAAAGAGATTTATTCCTTCAAAGAAGTTACTATTGTTAATAATGAATGGCAAAGAAATTGAATGTTCTACATATGCTGAGTTTATTAAAAAAAAAAATTTAGTGTTGGATATATTTGTTATGATATAATGCTAAACATATTGCTTTACATTTCAAAAGGCTTTGTATTTTCAAGTTACGTACATTTTTCCAGATGTGTTAAATTGATCATAAAGTTTGAATAAATTAAAATACTCTAAAATGATGCACAAAACTTTGTAACATGACTTACTGCAATTTCTTCCCAACAGTGAAACAACTGAATTGGAGCTCATCCTGTTGTTGAGTGAAATCCTCAATCTCATTGTACATTTAGTAAAGGAAAAGGATAATACCAGTGCCCTCTGGCAACATTGCCGTAACTTTATCTCCCATCTGGCACTTTGGGCAGAGGACCGAAGCACCATAGGCATCCTAGCAGCTATAGGCCTGGGAAGACAATCCCCTCTTTCCCTTGCCATTCGTCTGATTTGCCGCGCACTCAGCACATTCTTGAACCTACAGATGCCAAAAGAAGGAGTTTTCCGCACCCATCCTCTTCACACCCACAGGTAGGACTAGATTCTCCAGCAATTAATTAACACCTAAAGACAAGTGGCATCTAGAGAGCAAAAGCTACAGAAAACAAAATTTTGGGGGGTGCTTTGATGGGCAGATTATGTGCTTTTGGTCTCCATCATAAATATCCAATGATGATTTGACAAGAATAAAATCCAGGGAAGCCATAGTAAGCTTCTCCCCCCTCCCCCCACACACACACACTGACCATCTCACACTCCATCTCCCAGCCTTTTCTCTTGGCCACCCATTGTCGCACACCCACCCACCCTGCACTTGTGGTACCTTTGTTAAACTTCGTCTTTTAACTTAAGTATCAACACAAGACATTTTCTGGTATAGAAAATCATGCCTTCTAGTCCTTTGGCCACCCATTCCCACTCACACCTATCATTAGTGCAAGCAGTGCTTAGGTAATTTTTAGACTTAATTGTTTGATGTTTGATAAACGATAGATATTTAGCAAGAAAAACATTCTGTGGTGTAGAAACATCCATACTCACCCACCTGATCTAAAGTGCAAAAGAACTTAGGTGGGATAGAGTGGTATCTGGTCAATATTTTTCAAAACCTTGAAAAATTTACCCTTGGTGTATGTGGGGTGTCACAATTATCTGTATAAGTGGTAACCTTTAAGGTTAAGATAGTATTTCCATAAAAACTAAATGGAATGTCTCTTTTGTGCTTGATACTACATTTTCATCTGCAGTGACATAGATGAAACGCAAGACAGCATCAAGAATGATCGGTGCACTTTAGAACAACTAAGGGGCCTTACTGCAAATGCAACTTATGCTGGAGTGAGCCATTCTCTGACAAAAACCATACAGGTAATGTATAGATTTATTGTTTTGTTAAGTCACTGTTTACCCTTTTCCTTGATTTTTGGAAATATTTTATTTTATTTATATTGCTGTTAGTATTGTTGATAACACTGTAATAATTATATTAATTATTTTAACAGCATCAATAGATACACGAGAAAAAAAAAGTAAACTCAATAAATATATTTCATAAAAAAAATACTACAGTGAACATCTAATTTGGGTTATTGTATTTGATAGATTAATATTATTAAGCCAGTTGCCACAAGAAGTTTCAAATACATTCCATCACAATTACATAATGGCACTGCAGATCCCTTCTCTCCTGTCTGGCTGCTGAGCAAAAAATTTCTTCACAGGACACTAATCTGGATACACACACCTGCTTGAAAGGATTAATTATTTAGCACTAAATTTATTCTGTATGCCACTCCATTATTTGTGATTTAGTCAGATTTTCAAAAGATGTTTGTGAATTCAGATGAACTATTTAGTTATCCAGATTTGTATGTTTTAATAACCACAGTATTCATGTTATCATTCTAAAAAATATAGATTTCAGCTTCTTTCTTACTTCAAATTTATCTCATTCCATTATAATGGGATCTAATTTCCTTACAGTTTGTAGAGGACCCAACACACTGTATATCAGATGTGACCACCCTTCTGGCAGAGCTTGTGACAGACCTGATTCCACATCCTTTGCTCCACCACCTCACCACAACGGCTAAAAACAGAGCCTCAGGTGGACCACCACAGGCAGCACACTCCTCACAACACTTTCTACCAGAGGCACAGATGTGCCCCTCCGTCTCCTCCACTAGTGCATCAGCTCCACCTCCTGATGATGAGTAGTGTAGAATTGAATGATATTAAGTTGCACCACTGTTTTGCATGTTTTGAATGTCAGGTAGCAAAAGGATTAGCGTGAACTGCAAGTAATGTGTGGTGTAATTTGGTTTAGTGCAATTTTGTCTTTTCTTTCTTTTATGTATATATAAGAAAAAGTATTGTTCTGTGCCAGAGTTTCAATTAAATTAGCCTGTGATAGCCATAAAGGTGTCAAATGAAAGCTGGTTTATGTATGACATTTGCAATATGTAAAAAGTAAGATGAGTTTATATATGATTTTTCTACAGTGTGTATTCTTGTAGTTGTGTGTTCTTTTTAAAGTTTAATATTTATAGAAAGACCCTGAAACAGTAAAGATACAGGTCCTTTCTGTAAACATTAGATATATTTTTATTTTACAAATAAATTGTTATTAATTAATCAAATTTGGAACTGCTTTGAAATGAAGTGTAGATAGCTACTTATATTTAGTTGATTTTGGTTTGGTATAATTTTAAAGAGGAACATCGTATACAAAACTCATAATTTAAACATTTTTAATGTAATAAATAGGTTAATGAGACAAGTCATTTCAAGTAATGTACTCTAGTCCATATTTTATTTTCATGATCCAAGATGAAATATACAGTACATGTATAGAAACTAATGAGCTGAAAATCTCCTTGAGCCCCATCTAGGACAGCCAATTGGTTCCCTTCTCACAGATTCAGCCTGAAAGCCACGAAGCTGATCTGAAACCCGATCTCACACACATCTATTTGGAAACTGGTCCGGAATGTCCATAAATTAGCTGCTTAGTATTTTGAGCAATACTAAACACTTATTTTATAGGGACATGACGTGGAAGCAAATGCCACTGCAGAGTAGATAAAAGTTCAAATTTACAAAATGGTATATTACTGTTACACAGACTATGAGCAATTCATTAAAATGTAACTCACATTGGTATGGCAACTGCATAATCACACCAGGTTCCTGACTGTCAAAGCACATCAATTGATCTGTCAATTACATTTCTTTGCAACATTTGTGCTTCCTTGTCCTATCAATTAGATTTATTATATTAACTAAATATACATATTTTCAATATTCATACAACCATATATAACTTTAAAATCTTCAAGGATAACAGAACACATAGTCTTGAGTTACAGTATATACATGCAGAACAAGGGCAGTGGACATTACATATATACAAGTTGGAGGGGGGCAGTTCTCTTGGTTACGTCTCCAAGCGATGAGCTGGAATGAAAAAATAGTATTAGGTGATTATGTTTCAGCTATACTGAATAAAATGCATATTACCTGGTCCAGCAGATCACTTGCACAAGCTCAGGTTATTAATTTCAATGGTTAGTCCTTCAAGTGATCAACTTAAAGAACATCAAACTCAAGATGTACTCCTCATATAACATCATCCCACCCTCATCTTCATCTGTAATGCAACAGTTCAAGGTTACTGCCAGCACTATGATCATATTTAATTTTACATAACACAAATTATCTGCATTATTCAATCAGGTTATTCTTTATTCAGTCTACTTATTTATTTCTCTTTCTTCTGAGGCAGCAGCAAAACAGGATCACTACACACAGGACTTTTTTTTAATAATTTAGCTTAGGCTCTGGCCTATATATGCTCTTTCAACTACCAATGAATAATTTCGCTGTAACAATAAAACTGTCTTCCCCACAACATTCCCAAGACCATTATCCTGTATTTTTTCCAGAATTATGAAAACTGCAAAAATGAAAATAGCAAAGATGAGATTTAGTAAATTAAGCCTATCATGTCTGTTCATGCACTAATAAACTACTATTTTTCAACTACAAAAAAGAAGTGATCAAAACAAAACAATAAAACATTTTAAATACAGATTTTGTTTTTTGTCTCCACAAAAATTAACCTTGCCTACAAATTTTGAATGACATATTATAATACAGTGGATTTTTTAAAACTGTAAACCATGTACATCAGTTTCTGCATTACACATAACATTCTGATTATGTCATAAGTATGAATGTGGGGTTAAGAAATAAAGAAAAAAAAATACAAAGCAAGCAGTTGTACCCCAAATGAAAAAAAAACTACTATGATAGAGAATGATTGTTTATAAATTTCTTATTCAGGTAATATGAGCTTAACTAATTAATAATGTTCCATGATTATGCAAACCCTGACATCACCAACACTAAATGATATAGTGATTTCAAGTAGCAATGAGTACTTTCTTTTTTACAATATAGGTCAAAAGCAGCCAGAGGGTTAGTAATATTCACTTGTTGATTTTTAGTTTTGCACAAGACAATTGTTAAGAGTTATGCAAATACAATGCATTCAAATGAATAAATACTAGAGCAGTGGTCCCCAAAATCTAGGAATTAAGTGCATTTTTCTCTTCTTTTTTTCTTGATGCATGAAGTGCTCACTAAATGTACAGATATTCATTTCACTAAATGTACAGATATTCATTTCATCTAGGAAAACCTGATATTGCTGACTTGACTTTTTATCATGTAATGAAGCTGGGAGCCCCTGTCATGCACTGTCCACTAATTTTTTCTTTTTCCCCTTTTTGTCCATACGGAAGAGGTGACTAAGCACTTAACCCATTACTGCCGGGTCACGCCTTACGGCGTCATAACAAACCACTTGGTCTGCGGAGTATAACTGTGTGCTGCAGCGACGTGCCAGAGCGCTTCAACCGGGACATTTCGCTTGATGTTGTGTACTCCCACACTCAAAATCAGCTTGTAGCCATAAATCTCCAGAGCATAGAGTTTTCAAATTTATTTTCTTTACCCGGCAGTGTTGGGTTAACCCCTCAATGACAGTATCAGAAATCTCATGGCATCACTGACTCCAGTGACTTCTGGCAACCATCCTGCCATTTGGCATAGGAGTTCACTTTATGTAGTGGAACTTTCTACTCAATGCGCTCTAGCACATCGCGATGCCTATAGCCCGTACTTGGTATGATAAGTCGGTTTGACAGTTAGAGGCATGGCCCGGCATGTACTGGTTAAAGAGCTTTATAAGCAGGTGATTATGTTTAAGCAATACTGATATAATGCATATAACCTGGTCCAGCACATGGAAAAAACTTTTTATTACTGTTATTACTTAATTATTATAATGATGATCAGAATAGTAATAGAAATAAAAGGTTTTTGACAAAATCAATGAATGTGGTACACAGATCAGATCAAGTAATCCTAGTAATTGAATTCTTGATAACAAAAGTCTTGTGGAGCCATCACAGTGTAAATAAATGAATAAATAAATAAAATATAACCATGGTGGACAGTGCAAGTTTCCGGCATCAATAGGTTAACCCAATGTGCGCGAGCTTTATCTGCAGCCGTGAAGTCCATCAAATGGTTATATCCTTATGGACCACATCTGTAGGGATGCCACCCGCGGCATCAGCGTTTCGCCGCCATGACATCATAGTAGATGCCACCCATGAACAAGGGGTTAAAATGGATATGGAGATGATAATGCACACTCACTTAAAGGATGGGGGATGGCACATCATACAGGACTAAGAAACTAGGAAAAATAAGAACCACTGCACTAGAGAATTAAATGGAAAGCCAAGGAGAAGGAAGGTAAGAAAATACTGGAAAAAACCTGCTACATTCCACAAAAATTAGATCTTGCATTACACAAGTCAAAGAAAATGGTTCATTGCACACACAGGCTTTGGCTGCTACAAGAAAAAAGAAAAAAAGTATATATTAGTCACAAAGGAGATGACACTTGGGTCCATACCTTTCATCTTTAAAAATGTTAGAATTTTGTATTTTACAAATTGAAACTTCTCTTCTACTGACTTCCAATCTAAAACGTACATATTATATACACAGACAGAAAAGAAGGAATGTGTAAATGGAACTATTTTCTTCAGAGAATTGATATTACAGAAGATCAACCTGACCAATTTGTGTGTGATGTTACCAAGCCTGATAAAAATGTTGCACAGTACAGATATTTTCAACAAAAGCATCAGTCTGCTGAGTGTAAGTTGGGAATCATAGTAATATATATATATTTAAGTCCATCAAATGGTTATATCCTTATGCCCCATCGGTAGGGATGCCACCCGCGGCATCAGCGTTTCGCCGCCATGACAATCATAGTAGATGCCACCCATGAACAAGGGGTTAAAATGGATATGGAGATGATAATGCACACTCACTTAAGGATGGGGGATGGCACATCATACAGGACTAAGAAACTAGGAAAAATAGAACCACTGCACTAGAGATTAAATGGAAAGCCAAGGAGAAGGAAGGTAAGAAATACTGGAAAAAACCTGCTACATTCCACAAAAATTAGATCTTGCATTACACAAGTCAAAGAAAATGGTTCATTGCACCACAGGCTTTGCATCTTAAAATGTTAGAATTTTGGATTTTACAAATTGAAACTTCTCTTCTACTGACTTCCAATCTAAAACGTACATATTATATACACAGACAGAAAAGAAGGAATGTGTAAATGGAACTATTTTCTTCAGAGAATTGATATTACAGAAGATCAACCTGACCAATTTGTGTGTGATGTTACCAAGCCTGATAAAAATGTTGCACAGTACAGATATTTTCAACAAAAGCATCAGTCTGCTGAGTGTAAGTTGGGAATCATAGTAATATATATATATACTTCATTAAATGTTTTAATAATTAAAAATGCTCAAAAATAAATATGTAAGATATAGAAAAAAAGATTCTGAACGAAAGGTTTTGACACAGTTTCTCCAGCACAGTGTTGCTTCTAAGGTACACACACGTCCCAAGCCATGAGCCCACAGGCAATGGGGGGAATGCTTTACCTTAATTAAAGTTTGGATATCTGAAGTAGCTCAGAATCCTTCGTGGTGATCTGATGGACAATAATAGTTATATTCAGTTAGAAGACAATTGTTATAAGCTTACAGTAGAAGAATCATCACTTTCTGCATGTCTGCTAGACTTACCTTCACTAGGCGAAGCATTTATTCATATCATGCTTGATTAAACCTTTTACTTTCAAGCTAATTATATAACTAACTCATAAACTGGTCCACTTTAGTTAATAAGAATATATGTGTATGTATCCATGCAAATCAAAGAACATGAATTCAAATCAAAAGAAAGGATGTGTTGCCAAATATTTATGATAACTGCAAGGGCAACTATCATCAACTAGTTTATTCGGCAATATCATAACATCTATGGTTTGATATAAAACATGGAGCGAAAAAGTGAGGGAGCTGGTTGAGCAGCTTGCATAAAATCTAAAAAGTTGAAAGTGCTTTATGACAATACATGTCATCAAAATTCCTCACTCTATAAGATAAAACATATTCTTGTATCATGTGAAAGAAAGAAACCATTTAAATTCTGGTTGTCCCTCATCTTCCCATCTCCCTTCTACTTCTGCCATTCTGACTTCAGCTAACTTATCAACCACAACTAACACCCAACTACACCCAAAATTCCTTCTAAAAGAAATAATTTTTGTGATTCAAGTCTTGACAATCACCTATTTAACAAGTAACTCAATGGTTACACCTACATAACATCACAAATAAGTTTGCATTCTAATATGTCCTGCTCATTTTGTAAACTCCCCTTTCTCAACATTTAATTCATGTCTTTCCTTTACTATTAATACAGTTATGTAATTGGAAATTACTTCCCCATGACCAGTTTCACATATCATTCAATTGTTTTGTCATCTTTCTCATGACCATGCAGCATTATCTGAAAAATATGCTGGTCATATATCCATAACTCTGAATAGAATTCATGCTCTCAGATGTACACATGTTAGTATAAATATATTCATTCATATGTGTACTCATGACATGTCTATACATATGTGCAATCAGCCAAAAAAGTGATTGCAAGACGGCAGAGACTTATGGACAGAAAAGATGTATCTGACAACATGCAGAATTAGAAACTAAACAATAATACAGTATTATCGAATTACTAACTTCTTTAATAAATACAAAATACCTTAGTAATTTTGGATTTTATTGTAGTTTGGCTGAATATTGTAGTTTTATTTTATCAATGACACGCAATAAAACCTATTTCATTATTGACATACAATAAAGTAGAATGTTTTTATGACCTACAAAATCTTATTAATCTTCAAGAACAATAATTGCTTCTTCCATACTCATCCAAAATCAGTTCCATGCTCAATTTGCTTTACCATCACCTGCAAATTGAACACAACACGTCACACAGCACACACATACACCTGAGTGTGAGTGAGTGTGTGTGTTGCGTGTGTGTGGGTGTTGCGTGTGTGTGGGTGTTGCGTGTGTGTGGGTGTTGCGTGTGTGTGGGTGTTGCGTGTGTGTGGGTGTTGCGTGTGTGTGGGTGTTGCGTGTGTGTGGGTGTTGCGTGTGTGTGGGTGTTGCGTGTGTGTGGGTGTTGCGTGTGTGTGGGTGTTGCGTGTGTGTGGGTGTTGCGTGTGTGTGGGTGTTGCATGTGTGGGGGTGTTGCGTGTGTGTGGGTGTTGCGTGTGTGTGTGAGTGTTGCATGTGTGTGTGAGTGTTGCGTGTGTGTGTGAGTGTTGCGTGTGTGTGTGAGTGTTGCGTGTGTGTGAGAGTGTTGCGTGTGTGTGAGAGTGTTGCATGTGTGTGTGAGTGTTGCGTGTGTGTGAGAGTGTTGCATGTGTGTGTGAGTGTTGTGTGTGTGTGTGTGTGTTGCGTGTGTGTGTGTGTGTGTGTGTGTGTTGCGTGTGTGTGTGTGTGTGTGTGTGTTGCGTGTGTGTGTGTGTGTGTGTGTTGCGTGTGTGTGTGTGTGTGTGTGTGTTGCGTGTGTGGGTGTGTGTGTGTGTGTGTGTGTGTGTGTGTGTGTGTGTGTGTGTGT